CCCCTTACAAGTCCAGCTCCAGGTCCCGCAGTTCCTCCTCCAAGGCTTTCCTCCGCCCCAGCTTCTCCAGCTGCTCTTTCGTCGGCTGCTTTATCTCCCCTGAGTCGAGCCGCTGCTGCAGCTCCTCCACCTGCCGCAGCTTCTTCTTCAGGTTCTTGATCTTCTTGCTCTTCTCCGAGGCGGGGGCTTCCCCCTCGGCGGGGGCCCTGGTGCCACAGGCCGGCTGCGGCACAGCCGCCCGACTGTCCCCCGGCGGGCCCTTGTCCCCGCCACTGCCCCCCGACAGAGAGGCCTTCTCCAGCGCCTGGATCAGTTCGTCTGTCTCCCGCTCCCCCTTCTCCTGCTGCTGCTTCCTCTTCTCTTTGCGTTTCAAGTTCCTTTTCGCCGCCTTGGACAGTCCCGTCTCGCCGCTCTCCGCCTTGCCGGGCTGCTTGCCGGGCTGCGCGGTGGCCTCCAGGCTCAGCCCCGGGGGCAGCTCGGGTTTGCTTTTGAAAAACTTCACATATTTATTCTCGTACCTGCACAGAACGAGAGCCTGTGAAGGCGCCTCTCCCCCGCCGTCCCGCCCTGGGATGGTGTTGAGGACCCCAGGGCGGTGCCAAAAAGTCCCTGGCGCGGTGCTAAAAGACCCCACCGCCAAACGCCAGGAACGTTCGGCGCCTCCAGCAAAACCTCCGACGCGGCACAGCCCCCATGTCCGGCTCTCCCCCCAGGCCGGGGGGCACCTGCGGGCTCTGAGCCCTCCACCACGCGGCGGCCAAGCAGCCACCCTCGGAACGGGTCACCCCTGCCGAGCTCTGCGCCCCAGCAGACGCCGCCACTCGGGGTCCTCCTCGCGTCCGCGGGACGGCCCAGACCCGCACGGCCACCCCGAGGAGGACTGGGACGGGAGTCAATACGTACCGGCAGGCTACGGCTTATGGGATAAGGGTGAGGGGGTCGGAATTGCTCGGGCACCTGGAAAGAGACTGAGACCTCAAGACGTGACCCGGCACGCACAGCCCCAGGAGTTGCGGGGCCGAGGTCTGGGGTGCCTGGGGAACGGGACGGGACGCTCCAGCAGCTCCGCTCCCCTCTCGCGGCGCGGCAGACCCCAGCCCCAGAGAGGGAGCCCCCCCAGGGGACACCGCCTTCCCCCCTGGCCGCCTGCCCCACTTACACCGGCACCTCCTCCTGGGGCACGTATCCCTCCTTCACCCGCCGCTGCTTCCGCCAGGTGCCGTCAGGGCGCTGCGTGGAGGCGATGTACTTCCCTGCGAGGCCAAGGCACTGTTGGCTGGCGGCCTTGGGGCACCCCACGCACCCCATGGGGGCCCCAGGACACCCCACAGGGACTCCAGGACCCCACGGGGGCCCCAGGAGATCCCAGAGAACATACCAAGGGGGCCTCAAGACCCCACGGGGGCCCCAGGACACCCCACACACCCCACAGGGACCCCGGGACCCCATGGGGGACCCAGGACACCCCACACAGACCCCAGTACGCCCCACACACCCCACAGGGACCCCAGGACGCCCCAGAGGACACACCATTGGGGCCTCAAGACACTCCACACACCCCACAGGGGCCCCAGGACCCCACGGGGATCCCAGGACACCCCACAGGGGCCCCAAAACACCCCACAGGACACCCTATGGGTGCCCCAGGACACCCCCCACAGGGACCCCAAGACCCCCCACACACCCCACGGGTCTGTCCCCTGCCCCAAGACTAGGATGGGGACAGCCAGTCACCACAGACAGCGGGGTGGGGGGGTGAGGTGGGCCCAGCCCCACAGAGACTGGGGAGGTGGGACCTGCCCCATAGCGACCAGCAAGGTGGGACACACACACAGACAGGACCCCAGAGAGACTGGGGGAGGGGGGCGGCTCCCAGCCCCATAGAGATGGGGCCGCGGCCCAGGCCTACCGCGGGGGGGGAAACTCCCCCCCCCCCCCCAGGGGCAGGGAACGGGACCTGCCCCACAGAGACCGGGGAGAGAGCCAGCCCCACAGGGACCGGGGCTAGGTCCCGCCCTACGGATCTGGGGAAAACAACAACCCCACGGGGGCCGGGCCTGACCCCACGGGAACCTCCCGCCCCACAGAGCCGGGCCGGGCCTCACTCACCGGTCTCGTCAGTCACATAGGGAGTCGCCATCTTGCGAGCGCGACACACTTCCGGCCTCCCGGCCCCACCCCGGAAGTGGCGGCGGCGGCAGCAGCCGGGCGTGGCGCCGAAGAGGCAACGCGGAGCGGGGCGGCCATTTTGTTTTTAAAGGGGCAGCGCCCCGTCTGGGGGAACTCCCGGCGTGCACCGCGAGAGCATGTATCTGT